CTTTTGGTGTGTTCTTGAAGTGGGTATGGAAGGTGAACCTTGTTAGGGGCTTTGAGAAGTGTTAAGTGAAGGTTTTGTCTTCAAGAGGTAACTCATGCTCTACAAAATCTATTTTGCTTACCTATATGATGATTTATTGGATTCTACATGTGATTTTGCTATGAAATGTGATTGTTGATGCATTGTCTTGTGAAAATGCATATCTAGATCTTGTTATTAGGGTTCATGTGTGTCATTGCGTGGCTATTCCTTTGACTCAAGTCATTTTGTTGTATTTGGTGAGATTTGGCATGTTTTGGACTTGAATTTGAGCTTGGTGTTGAAAATCCCCGAAGGGACTTTTTGGTACAGAGGTTGTACCGCGGGCGGAACAGCGGGTAGGCGTCCACCCGCGGGGTACGTGGTGTATGGGAGTGTGTTCCCGCGGGCAGAACCACGGGTGGGGGTCCACCCGTGGCCCCACCCGCAGGGAACATATATTGCGTTGTTGGGGATTTGTTTCCCGTGATTCTTTTGACTCTGTATTTGGTCTTTTGACTTCCCGATGTTCGTTTGTGGAACTATTTGAGTGTCTTCTTGATGTTTCGTATGTCTAGAATTGTATGGTAGGATTCCATGTAGGTTTTGGTGTCTTGAATCGTGCTAAGTGTTCAACCTTGTGATTCGTTGAACCATGATGAGTCTTGTGTGTTCTTCAGAACTATGTTTAGTTTACACGTTTATTAAGCATGCTAGTTCGGTGTTTAAATGCTAGCATGTGTGGTTTGTTCTTTCCTAACGTGGATGATGACTTGTGTTGATCATCGTTGTTGTCGGATTGTGAGCCATTCCTTGATTGAGTATGGCTTCATATCTTCGTTGTGATCCGTTGATTGACTCCTATGATGATGTTGTGTGTGTGGTTGTACCTGGATTGCACGATTAATGGTATGGGACATTAGTCACCAAGGTACGGCAATGGTCCTCGTGGTGGCCATGACGTGATTATGGAGTTTGTGACCTGAGTGATGGGTTCACGTATTTCTTGGGAGGCATGTGTTACCGTGTGTGTGATTGGTACCCTCGTGTACTAAGAAATCGGTGGTCATGTTGGAGATTGTCGGAGTGGGGACGACGGTCCTCGGAGGAATAAGGTTGGACTTGGTGTACAGGGGTCCTGGAGGTAAAGGTTGGAACCAGTTATAAGGTTGGGGGTAGCCATAAGGTTGGAACCAGGCATAAGGAAGGCATATCAATTCGTGATGGGTGATGTCACGAAGGCAAGTGTTGCCGTTGTGTAATTCTCTATTCGTGACGAGTGATGTCGCGAAGGCATGTGTTGCCATTGTGGGTCTTTTATCCTCTTGTGTTATGCATGTCGGGTGTTATTATACTGAGTGATGGTAGAATACATCTTGAGCCGTTCTTGTGTGTCATTGTACTTCTTGTGGTCTTGGGATGTGTTCCCTTGTCTTCGTTGTGAGTGTATTGAGTATTGTGATTGACTTCTACTCTCGGCTTTGAATTATATATATTGTATCCCGTTTCGCAAAAGATTTTGTATATATAAACTATCTATGTATGATATTTCACATGTATTGGTGGGTTACCAGCATCATTCGCTGATCGGGCGTCGTCCCATGTATTTATGTGTTTCTTTCAGGTTCCGAGTAGAGGCGAGCGCGGTCTAGTGGTGAATAGCATAGATCCCTCTGACCTTGTAGTTGTTTTGGCCTGTGTTCCTATGATGGATTTAGACTTGTTGTTGTTTGACCTTGTCCTATGTAGACAGATTATGTTGATGTTGTTTACGCATGTGCGTTCACTGTAGTGTGGATGTGGCATAACACTCTTCGTTTTCCATCTATTTAATTGTTATACTTCCGATGTGTATGCTTTTTATGGTTAGATTATCTGCATAATTAAGTGTTAAATGGGTATGGAAATCGGGGGTGTTACATAAGAGGTTTAGGATTGCTAATTAGGATCTGATTAATAAAAGGTCTACTTTCCATATTCCTAACAGATACATAGGTCTAAGATTCCTAATCAGAATCTGAATAATAAAAGATCTACTTTCTTTATTCCTAACAGGCTTAATGTCTTTAATATAGGCAAGGGTCCACGGTCCATTGTGGACCATATTAATTAATTAAGGAGATTCTAACTAAATTAAATCTTTTTTAACAATTCTTTAACGGAATTAATTAAATAATTAATCCGGGATTAAAGTCCGTAACACGGGGTGTTACAGTACGTAGGGGTGTGCAAACTTCGGATAATTTTCGGTTAACCGACCTAACCGACAAAGTTCGGTTAACCGTTTTCGAACCGAACTTTTTCGGTTCGGTTAATGATTAAAGGAATTTTAAAATTTCGGTTAAGGGTTAATTCGGTTCGAAAGGTCGGTTAACCGAATTAACCGAATGATTAACCGAAGTTTTTAATATATATATATATATATATATATATATATATATATATATATATATATATATATATATATATATATATATATATATATAAATACTAATTTGAAGTTATGGATATTTGGAGTTTATAATTCATGTTTTTTTATATTTTGTTATGAATTTATTATGATATATATTTTATTTTAATTGGATTTATTATTTTATGTGTTATTTTTAGAGTTTTAAATTTTAGCTTTAAAAAGTTCGGTTAATAACCGACCGATTAACCGAAAAAAACTTCGGTTCTGTGAATTCGGTAGAGCAAACTTCAGTTCGGTTAATGGTTAAAGGAAAAAAAATTTCGGTTAATTCGGTTCGGTTAACCAAACGGTTAACCGATTGAACACCCCTAACAGTATGGATAGGTGGCGGTTGCCATTTCTGCAGCTCAACGATGGAGACAACTGAACACATTTTTTGCATATGTGTATACACTAGAGGTTTATGGGGTGAGGTGGAGTTATTGCAGGGGCGAAGCATACAGCAGTTCATGGAGGCAAGACTGGGCGATTCAAACGTCGAGCAGGCTATCATATTGGCTGCTAACATATGGACAATCTGGACGGCGAGGAATGACATTGTTTGGCGACAGATCATACCATCTGTGGACGGAATGAGAGAACAAGTCGAGAGGTTGCGAACATCATGGAAGGAGGCTTTCGCGGGTGTTGTACGGTCAGAGGGAGAGAGAGGCTCTTCGGATCGCTGGGAACCTCCACCGTATAATACCTTCAAGTGCAATGTGGATGCAGCCTTGTTCTCTACCAATGCAGGCTATGGAGATGTTGTCCGCGACCATGACGGCCGTTTTGTGGCAGCAACTTGTGGCCGACTTGTGTGTAATCAGGATTCTTTCATGGCAGAGGTCCTTGCAGCCAAGGAAGCCTTAACCTGGCTGAAAGGTTTACGTTAGAGTAACATCATCCTCGAATCTGATTGTTTAAATTTCTGTAATGCTTTCAATTCTTGTGGAGTAGGTATGATTGTGAAGCAATGTTTGTCGATTGCTTGTGACATAGGGAACGTAAAGGTTCACCATGTCAAGAGATCAGCGAATCGCGTGGCTCATGAATTAGCTCGGGGAACCAGTTCTTTGTCTGTCTCAGGATCGTGGGCTGTTATCCCACCTACTTGTATTTCTAGTTTGTTAACTCATTAATGAAGTTGTTATTTACTTTCAAAAAAAATATCTTTTTTTTTGTTATTTATTAATTGGAAAAAAAATACTATAAGACTCATATTTTCTATTCTCAACTTCTACTCTCACTCTCAAATTCAATGAACACTTTTTTGAGTACTAGCATGATGAAAATAGTCTTTCATTGATTCATTGTTTGTTAAATCAAGTAAAAGTGAGGAAGTAGATAGTATAATGAAGGGGGTGGGGGATTGAGGAGAGACTGTTCTCAACACAATCGTGAGGCTCAAATTTGTTTGACCGTTGAGTGTTTTTTTATATAAATATAAATATTTTGTAGAGATGTTTTTAAATTTTGATTTCAATTTTTTTTTTTTTGAAATTCAAATTGAAATTACTTTTAAAATTCAAATTTATCCTATTTTTATTTTAAGGGAAAATAGCACTTTTTCCCCCTGAGTTATATACTTATAGCACTTTTCCCCCCTCAATTATTTAAGTGGCTGTTTTTTCCCCTAAAATGTTAAATGGACATATTTACCCTTAAAATAAATATTTTATTTATTTTTCTTCTCCAACAAATTATGACCATAATTTGGTTTAAACCAAATAAACACTATAGCAACCAAACCGAAATATTTCAATTACAATTTAGAATCGAAACTCGATATTTAGAGTTTATTAAAACCCCGGAACGGACGGTTCATGTTCCGAACTGAAAAAATAAAATACATTTATTGTTGAATTTAGACTATTTTTAAAATAAAAATAAAATTTTAAAATAAAAACGGTTCAAAATCGCGAATCGGGTCCGGAACTGCCAGTTCACGGTTCAGGATCCAATTTTTTTTATTCATAATTTTAATAAATTGAAATCCAAATATTAGGTTCTAGATCTGAATCATAACCAGAAACTTTTAATTTGATTGCTATAGTGTCCGATTCACTTCGAACCGAATCGTAGTCATCCTTACGTATACGCAATAATTTGTTGGAGAAATAAAATAAATAAAATGTTTATTTTAAGGGTATAAATGTCAATTTAATATATTAGGGGGAAAAACAACCACTTTTAGAATAATTTAAGGGGTTAATGTGCTTACCTAAATAATTGAGGGGGAAAAAGTGCTATAAGTATATAACTCAGGGGGAAAAAGTGCCATTTTCCCTTATTTTAAATAAAAAATTGAAATTATTATAATTGTAAAGTTGAAAATATTAATCGTAGAAAAGTGAATAAAATAATAGATAACATTTTCCATTACACAATTAGCATGTAATTTTATTTATTTATTTTTGGTGTAAAAAAGCCATAACACACAATGCAATGTGCTCATGATTTACGGCTTTGCTACTTTTATATACCAATAAGTCAATAACATTGCAGATAAAAGATGAAATACATTTGTGAATTGAAAAAGCAGAGTCAAAGGAAATGAGTTGGGACTGTATAACTACCACAACCATAAGTTATTGTCACAAGAAATCCATGCCTAGTAGTAGTAAGTAGTACCACAAACAGATGGTAACTGGCAGACAACACATTCAGAGGATAGCCACTAGCAGAGTTTGAGTATTGAACATACAATTACAAAACATTTTTAGTTAAACACATGAGCCAACTCCAAGCTTCCAATTGTGATCCCTGTGTCACCACTGTGTGTGAGAATCCAGCTTGTCTGACGATGATGTTTAGCTTCTCCGTCGACCACAATCACAGCTCAGCTATATGTGTCTCTCTCTCTCTCTCTCTCTCTCTCGGAGTTTATAACAGAAAAGGATGCTTGGCTTTCACAAACCTGCCAACTATTTGTCTAATCATGCTCTAGCAGTGGTGTAGGATGCAAGTCTAAACGCAATTCCTGTCCCATCTTCGTGAAACCCATCGAGCTAGTTTTTCAGCAGTTCACTACTTGTAATGCACGCGTTTGCTCCCCTCTTTAAGATAAGTTTATCAAAATGCAGCTGGCAATCAGAATAGCTTTTCTTTTATTTCTTTCCCTCCAGCTCTATGCTCTCAAGCGCCCATAATAGGCAAAATCCAATGGCTTCAATCTAGCCCGTCCTAAAAGTTTAAAGTTCCCCATAGTCCATAGAACATTGTATAGCCAGATCTATGCAGCCTCCATTCATCCAGTTTCCATGACCAGAAGAAGCATCAAAATTGACAATTGGTTTGAACTTCTCTAGCCACATAGGAAGAAACGGTAACTTGCCTGTGGGTGGAAAAATGAGTGCTTTGGCAAAAACTTCTGGATGCAATCTGAACAAAGATTTTCCAAACAGAATGTCTCTTCATAATCACGATTGCTTAAGCAGCAGCCACAGCTTTTACAACGAGGAATGCAGAAAGTACAAGCCCTGCATAACTGGGTACCTTGTTGATCCCCTTGGCAACTTTCTGCAGGGCAATCATAAACTAGTCTGAGTTGCTCACACTTTGGGCATGTTTCAATGTCAAGAGCGTGATCATCATCATCATCATCATCAACAGAGAGATACAACTGGCCAGCTTGGTAAAACCGTGGCTTACGGGCAGTTGGCAGTTGGCTGTTATTCACACCTAAAAGTAACTTCAACTCTTCAAAGTGTTGGTTCGTTACACCGAACAGTCCACCAATTCTGAGACACTTTATCCCAGGATTTCCTGTGTACTTAAAAACCTTTAAGTTCGACAGAAGCCCGCCAATGCTGAGCTTCGTGCATCCAGCTACGCTAAGCTGCAGGGGAAAAAGGTGTTAATTCAAGAAAAGGATTCAATGTTAGAATCCACAATGGGAGTACATTTCATTTAAGCTGAAATCAATAGTAATAAACTTGTCCTAGTAGATACCCATTTTGATTAGAGCCTAAGAGGAAAGAATAGAAGAAGAAGAAGAAGAAAAAATCTTTCTAGCAATAGATTAATTAAACAGAACATCTCAACTCAATTTAACACGTAACTGCTGTTAGCTACAAGGACAAAATTTCTCACTTCTGCTCAATCTGCAGCAAGTAGGCCATTATGCCTCGAAGAGCTGCATTATTTTTGTAATGTTTTAATATACCCACAGTCCTCTTCCCATATTCTATCATTTATGTTGCTATTTTATTTCCTGCTATATATAGATTAGAATGAAACTAAAACTAAGAAATTACATTCCAAATGTACTGCAGAACAGAAAGCACAATCAATTTAACTGCACCAAAATTTCAAAGCCAATGCATAATAGCCTAACAATTATCATAGTTTCATACAAATAAGTGAAAATAGCACAAAATTGATGGAAATAGCAAAACACATTTATCAAGACATTTTAACAGAATAACAACATAGCTAACATGAATGACAATAATGATGCACATTAGTACTAAGAGAGGATCTAGCATGCACAAAGAATCAATCCAAAGGGTAAAAATTGAACAAAGGTTATATGAACACACTGACCTTTGTCAGTGTTTTATTCCTTTCAAGCACATTCTTTAAGCCACTATCAGTGATCTTCAAGCACTCCACAAGACTCAAACAATGGAGACGTCCTTGGGCCCGGTTCGTCAACTGCAGGAGAGCATCATCTGTGATCTTATCACTCAAAGGGTGATCAATCTTTATCTTTCTCCATAGAAGTGGATTGTTTTGCACTTCATCGCGCAAAGATTTGCAAACTTGCTCAACAAAGAGAAGGTCCTCAACACCTAAACGATAAAGGGCCAGAGGCAGAGCATCTGGAGGAGAACCTCCTTCACCCTGGAAACCCTCTCCAGGTAATCCTTCACGCTTGTTGATTTCATCATAAAAAATCCAATATTTTTCATAACTGAAATCCATAGTCTCATCCATCTCACAATCCGAAAAGACATGGCCATCAAATTCACCATTCCCAAAATCCATGGCTCCAACTCCAGAGTTCTCATTCATCTTCTCGGCACCTGACTCTGGATGAATCCTCTTGCTACCATTCAATACAAAATCAAATCCCGCAAATAACTGATCATCAACTTTCCCAACCCCAATTTCATCAATCACGAACCCAATTTCTATGGTATCAATATTCATATCAAATGGATCCTGAGGCAGCAAATCCGCAACATCATCTGAAGCATTACGGATCTCCTCCTTTCTATTGCCCTGAAAATTCCCCTTCCCGCAATCCAAACCCCAGGATTTACCAAAACAATCCCGATTCTTATCCGGGCGATCTTCCGAGAAACGCCTATTCTGAAAGTTGATCCCACTGCAAAAGCTTCCTCCTTGATTCAAAGCCATCCGGGAACGCCCCCTCTTTCCACTCAAAACCTAGCCACAATCAAACAAAAACACCGCATGCCTCGCGATTTTTAGTTAGAAATCCCAAAATGCACAAATATGTACATAACGGCACAACCCTAATTCTCCATAGAATCCGCTGCAAAATATGAGGTTAGGGATGCCACACCAGAAATTTCAGAAATCACTCCTTTTAATTAAAATACAATTCTCATCTATTAATGAGTGCATTAAATAACTTTCTTAAGTAAATAAAATAAAATAAAGCGAGTTTTAAAATAACTCAAGTTTCTTTATGCTTAACAAGAGTTTTAGTCTAAGATATCTAGTTGACTGATCGAAAAAATTATAATAAAAAGATTATTGTTAAGAATTATAAAATTGTACTATTCAAGCTAAAAAAAAAATTATATTTGATAATTTAAATTCTATATGATTTACTCTTGAACTTATTTTTCTTTTTTTTTTATACCTCATATATTGCGGGATCAAAATTTAACTAAAAGATATGATAATATTCTGTTGAGAGAAAGAAAAAGAGAATATTAAGAAATACTTTTTAATAGATTATTATTATTGTTATTATTATTATTATTATTATATTATTATTATTATTATTATTAAGCACAATCTTTTTGTGATCATAACATTAATTGTATTCTAATCCAAACAACCCCAAACCATTCTTCTTAATTATTAGTTCCCAAAATAAACTGATTACTATTATTAAATTATTAAATACATGCATCCATATTCAAGTCACCATTTGTCATCGGTCAATATTTATGTGATTGAGTTAATATTAAAATTTCTTACCTATTTTTACTAATATTAGTGTAATAGAATTAAGATTGAGTCACATGGAATGACCAATCAATTCCTTCTCTCACTTTTCCATGATTGTATGAAATGACCGATTTCTTCTCCCCTTTTTCGTGGTGATAATTTTAAAAGTTTTCATTAAAAATAATATTTAATGGTTATTATTAAAAGTAATTTTCTCATATGCAATTGTAAAACTAGTATATAAAGAAAATTACTTCTGATCTCTTATATTCATCTCAATGTGTTAGTATGAATTCTAATAATATTAGAATTTCTAGTAATATTAGATTGAATTAATATTAATATTTTTTAAACTTATTTTTACTAATATTAGTGTAAAAAAAGGTCACCCTCAATCTGTTATATCCATATCCATGTGTTAGTATGAATTCTAATAATATTAGAATTTCTAGTAATGTATGAATTCTAATAATATTAGAATTTCTAGTAATATTAGATTGAGTTAATATTATTTTTTTTTAACCTATTTTTACTAACATTAGTGTAAAAGTCACCCCTAATCTCTTATATCCATCCATGTGTTTGTATGAATTCTAGTAATATTAGAATTTCTAGTAATATTAGATTGAGTTAATATTAAATTCTTTTTTACCTATTTTTACTAATATTAGTGTAATAGAATTAGGATTGAGTAACATGGAATAACTAATTCCTTCTCTCCTTTTTTTATGGTTGTATAAAATGACCAATTCTTTCTCTCTTTTCCGTGGTAATAGTTTTAACAAATTTCAATAGTAAAATTTAATGGTTATTATTAAGAGTAATTTTCTCATATGTGGTTGTAAAATCAATGATTAAAGAAAGTCATCCCTAATCTCGTATTATCCATCTCCATGTGTTAGTATAAATTCTAGTAATATTAGATTGAGTTAATATTAAAATTTCTTACCTATTTTTACTAATATTAGTGTAATAGAATTAGGATTGAGTCACATGGAATGACCAATTCTTTCTCCCTTTTTCATAATTGTATTTTTTTTCTTTTTTCTTTTTTTTTTTTGGTGGGATTGACCCGTTTTCAACGAGGAAAGACAAAACTTGGACTATCAGACCCTAAAAATTGTATGAAATGACTTATTCCTTCTCCCCTTTTTGTGATGGTAGTTTTAAATAAAATTTAATGGTTATTATTATGCCAATTGTATGAAATGACCTATTCCTTCTCCCCTTTTTGTGATGGTAGTTTTAAATAAAATTTAATGGTTATTACTATGCCATTGTAAAATCAGTATATACAGAAAAGTCACCCCTAATCTCTTATATCCATCTCCATGTGTTAGTATGAATTCGATCTACGAATATTACATGGCGTTTGGTTAGAAAGAAAGAATATATGAGGAAAGGAATTTTAATTCGAGAAATAAAGTATGAATTCAAATTACATTGTTTGGTTAAAGACTAAAATGCACTTGTGCAATAATAATAATCATCAAGGGCAAAAGGGTCATTTTCATAGTTTTTTTTTTTTTTTTTTCCCTTTCCCCACTGCTCCGATTTACAATTCCTATGGGGTCCAAGAATTTCACTGTAATTTCAGTGGCCAAAGAATTTATGTTGTAATTGAATTACAACTACATCCAACCAAACAACCAATTAGTATTATGAATATTAATCCTAAAATTCATCATTATTTTAAGCAACTTCATTCTTTGAATCTGAAGCAACTAAACTGGCATGTGTACAAGGAACAGTAAAGGCAAAAACTGAGAAAAATTCAAAGCTACACAAACAAATTACTGTCTCATTTCTTGGCTCTTTTTTTTTGTTGGGTGACAAGGGAAAATCGCAACCACTAACCGAAGTTGTGCACTGGGTAAACCCTGTGGCCTTTTACTCTGCTGGAGATGTTGCTATATCTTGGAACCCTATCTAATGCCATCATGAAAGCATCTAACTCTCTAACCCTCTGTTGATCTTGAAGCCAATTGACTATGGTTGAAACCACTTCCTTTTTTGGCCTCCACCCTTTGTTGTTTTGACTTACTGATACAGCTTTCTTCATGCATTCAAAAGCTTTGTCCATGCTGCCCCTGCCCATGTAGCCTGCCGTGATTATAGCCCAACTGTTCGGGGTTGGCTGCTTGCCTTTCTTGACCAGATCGAGGAGCATTTCCTCCGCTTTCTCAACTAATCCCTTCTGGCAGTAACCAATCAGAAGAGTATTCGGAACCCTGAAATCATAGGTGTGGCAGGAAGAATCCCACACCATTAGCAGTCTCTCGGCTGTTTCGAGCTCACCAAGCTTCACCAAGCAACCCAACATGGTGATATAGTCTCTGTTAATATGTTTTTTGCATACGGTTTTTTGTTCACCCCATAATCTCCACATCTCCTCCACATTCCCGAGGTTAGCATAGTGCGAAATCAAGTGATTGTAGCCTAATGCATCTTTCCGTAGACTCTCCTCTAGTTTCATTAAGGAAATAAGTGCTTTCTCCTTCTTGTTGGACTTTATATAGAAGTGCGCTACTATGGAGTAGGTGTTCCATCTCATTGTTATGTGAGGCTGGCTTTCCATTTCCTCAAGAAGCGTCTCCATGCTATGAAGATCAGATAACTCACCATAAGCATTGATGCAGATGTTATAGCAAAAGTAATTAGTAGGAACGCCATTCTCCTTCATCTCCGACATCACGTGGGGGATTTTCTCAAGCTTGCCAGCATTTTTATAAAGACACATGAGATTGCTGTAAAGAAGAGGGGAGGAACCATAACCAATTTCCTTCATTCTCTCGAAAAGGGAAAGGGATTTCAGAAACAGCCCTTCTCTGACATAACAATTGAAGAGAGCACCATAAGTCTTTTCATTTTTCTCCTTGTCACCGAGTTTACTAAAAAAGTCCTCTGCAGCTTTCGATCCATGAACCACCCCTATAAGATCCAGATGCACAGCTTGATCACTCGACGAAAATGGATACAGACCTTTCCCATTCATCCACTCGGAAACCTGCATTTAGAATCAACACAAATTATAACCGACACTGCACCACCATCACAAATCATAAACATTCAGGACTTGGCCATAAGTCAAAAGATTTTAAGAAACGCAAGAGAACTTCAACATTGTTCAGTATCAATATTAAGCAACAAATTACTACATATGTTTACACGAATCAGGACCAACACCCATTTTATCTAATACTATCTTCAAGAAAACTACCTTAGATGAATCTTTTTTTTGGTGACGAGGGAAACCCGCAGCCATTGCCTGAGAGTATGCATTGGGTAAACTATACTTACCCTAACCGGCAAAAAAGACCACAAGCAGAAACCAGTCTAGGTCAAACTAAGAAGGCCAATAGGTTGCTTGGAGTCGAACATGTAATCTTGTGGTTACCAAGTCAACAGCTAGGAATCTTGATTTCCCATCATCAAATATTGAACCTTTTAACACTTAACAACCTCTGGGAAAAAAAGTAATATCAATGCCCACTTAAAGCAATGTAGTATAAACCAGACAAACCAATAACAATGGCATATGCTAAACCAAAACAACACATATTTTAGCTAGAACTTGACATAGAACCCAGTAAACATTTTACAAATTCTAGAGTTATCCAAGTTTTGGGAGAATGGGTCAAGCAGAAATCATCTTCCAACAACTGACACAGTTTTCCACTTAACTCAGGATTACAGAAGAGAAAAGCAAAGCAAAGCAAAGCAAAAAGAGGAGAAAGGGCATTCTAAAAGAAGAACCTGGAGAGCGTTAGAGTAGCGCTTAAGGGAACGGAGATTACGAATGAGGCGCTGAAGCTCGATGCTTTTGACCTTTCTCCCCTCACTGACCCACTCGTCGAGAATCGGGACGACGAGATTGGCATCCCTGACTGTGCTGATTGTTGAGTACAGATTTTTGGGGTTGAAGCACCGCAATGTGGGATAGGCACGAAATGAGATCGCTTTTCCCGTTAATTTGTACGGAATTGTTGATTTAGATGGAATTCGGGGCGCGAACGCCTTCGAATTGGATAGAAATTCCGTCCTGGGTTGTGAAACTGACAACATTGGGAACCAAGAATATGATGATTTAGGGAGGGGTTTGGGGTTTAGGTTTTAAGATTTAGAGTCTAGAGATCTATATATGCTAACTGAAACAGGGCGTTTGGTTGGAGGATTTTAAATTCCCTTCCCACTTAATTCCCACCTAATTCCAAAGGTCATTAAATTCCGTAGTTTGGTTGGAGGGAATTGCAATTCCATAGAATTGCAATTCTTCCATTTTCATGGAATTAAAATCCCATGTCCCCGTGGTATTTTAATTCCTGGAAAAAAAAAAACAGTGATGAGTCAAAATTACCCCTTCCTTTTTTAACATAACATTAATGTCTAACAACAATAATGGACATTTTTGACTTTATACTACTTATTCCCTTTCAATTCCCATGTATACCAAACATTGGAATTGAAATTCCCAGTAATTCTATTCCTGTCAACCAAACACTGGAATTTAAATTCCCACTTTATTCACAGTATTTCAACTCCCATGGAATTACAATTTTTTTCCCACATAATTCCCCCGTCCAACCAAACGCCCTGTAAATGCATAAATGTGATTGGGAGAAGAGTGTCCGAAAAGGACGAACTAGTCCATCAAAGATTTTGGGACATATGTGGTGTTTCTTCTTGTCATCTTGTGTAATAATGACTTTTATTCAAGAAATTTAATTTTAGTTATATTGTGTTAATTCTTAAATGTATTTAGTTGCTTATGAAATTCACATCATAAATATTATAATTGGTATGAGTAAGGCTATTGGAGGCGAACTATGAGCTCTTTATGCTTTTGAGAAAGTAGTTATGAACAGATACTACATTGTAACAGAGTCAGTAGTATTAAAAAAAAATGTTGTAATTAGAGAAAAGATAGTTAGATGTTTATTGGTATCAGTAAGGCTTATGTTAGAGTTTAATGAGGTGTTTGGTTGGGAGGAATGAATTAGAAAGGAAAGGATTGCAATTCGGTGGGAAAAGAATAATGTAGGAATTCAAATTACATTGTTTGGTAGGGAGGAATAAAATTATTGGGGATTCGAAGGAAAAAGTGGTACAAAGACTAAAATATATTTGTGTAATAATAATTGTTATAAATATTAACATAATGGCCATTATTTCTTCAATCCCTTTATCTTCCCTATAAATATTATATGTTAGTTATAGAAAGTGAAGGGTTGTATGGATTGTATATATATACATGTTGAAGGATGAATAAAGGGAACTTGAAGTTCTTAGATTTGGAGTTCTCATTTTTCTCTCTACTTTTCTCTTCCATTCCATATTGCAATATTGTTTATACATACAATCGACGCGTTACCGTACAACAATCCCGGTAGATTGAGCTAATCAGTAGGTCAAATTACAACACGTTATCAGCACGAATCGCCAACATACTCCTCGGTGAACGGTATGCCTGGATCTGTTACAATACATGTTTTTATATTGGGCAAGCATGTTCATAGGATTCGTATAATATATGGTTTTATATTGCACATGCTCATATGATTCGTATATATGCTTGCAAATTCTTGAATATGGATTTCCAAATTTATTTTGATTCTGTGAATCAGAAGAAAGCATGTGATATATATATTTGCGTAAATAGAAGTGATTTTTCGTATATACAATATATGTACACCATGTTGATAATATATGCTGCACATAAGAACATTCATATCAAACTGCATAGATGTTGTTGCTAAATTTACATAAATATTTTTGTTATATATATTGCTGCAATATAAGCATGGTATTTGAAAGGTTGCAATGCTTCAAAATGTTTTCATGCTTGAAAATGGAAAAATATGTTTTCCTTGCATGGATCCGAAAGGATATTTTGTTTTCTGTCGAAAGGTTAGTTTTTCTGCCGAAAGGTTGAATAATCAAAAGGTCATTTTTATGGTCTCTTGTGTGTTTTCGAAAGGTTAATTTGTTTTTTTTCAGACTTTTCCTTTTGACTTCATCTCTGAAAGTTTGATTTGCATCTAGAAGATGTTAGATTCCTTATTTTTGCTATGAACATGTGATATTATGAATGTATAGAGAACATATGATATATGTTTTGTAGATTACGTCTTCCATTGCCAAATGTGAATTTATTGAGATTACTTATGAATGAAGCAATTATTTAGCTTGGCTCTTGATATTGAAATATATTCGACATCTAAAGATTGACCAAGTTTTTTGTTGCTAAGTCACAGAGCACTGATGCCTAGAAGACACAAGCTCTCATTTTCATACGTCACCACTTGAACCACGACCTTAAAAATGAGTATCTGATTGAAAAAAAAAAACAAGCCCATTGAATTAATGGAAGTCCCTGAAGGACTATTCCAACCAGAAGTCATCAAATGTTCTTCCTCAGACACATTTTGACTAGTTTAATCTCATGTTTAATTTTGAGATTATAATGTAAGTCAGTGATGAACTATAATTCAGCTATGCACAAAATAGTCTCGCAAGTGAAACTCTAAACAAGAAGTTTCAGAGAAATATTTAATTGGAAAGACATTGCCAACTTTTCATGCGAGTAATTTGTACTCCAGCAGTAATACAAGACAACAAATTATGAGAATCATCCTAAGCTGATGTTAGCACTCCTTGTGGCTAAGAAACATAACTAGTTGTTGATGAAGAATCAAAATGCATGTCTGATTGATTTTTGCACAGGTGCCTGAAGCACATAATGTTACCCAGTTGAGCAACTTTATACGAGATTTCGATCGGAATTATAACCGGTGTGGTATGAGTTTCGAGCTCAGAATAAGAAAAAAAGTGATCAAGATATTCAAGGACGACCAAACTCATCGAGGCAAAATCCTAGCCAGAAGCAGGTTTGCTAACAATGTGGGTCTGAAGGGCATTGATGATTCTAGGTAATTGCCTGAAGCAAATACTGTGATAAATGATGATAATGAAATGATGAGGTATTGATGAATAAATGATTTGTGTCATGATAATGTTTTGAACAATGCATTCAAATATATTCATGGCTGAAAAAGTTAGTTCATGCCTGAAGCATAGAGCATCCGAGTAATTAGCTCATGCTTGAAGCATCTGAGAAGTTAGTTCATGCTTGAAGCATCCGAGAAGTTAGTTTATGCCTGAAGCACCCAAAAAGTTAATTCATGGCCACAATATTTATTGCGTGGCTGAGAAGTATATATACCCCAAAAGTATCTTTGAGTGCAAAGTTATTTTTGGATGCAAATTATTATGAATGCAAAGTGATTTTACTTTGCTGATTTTCCTTACTAATTTTACTACTCGAACTGACTATTCAAGAAGTTTACTTCTCTAAGCTTACCTCTCTAAGCTTACCTCTGTAATCTTACTTCTCGTTTTACTTCCTGAAATTTTACTTTTTGGAACTTTATTTTCCGGAGAAAGTTTACTTCTCGGAGTTACTTCTCTTAATTTGCATGCTTATTTATATATGAAAGTTTTTCTCATGCATGCAACATGACTCTCCTATGCAATTGACTTGTTGGTAATTCAAAATTGAATTATTATTTGTTCCATAAATCCTATATCAATCCCGGAAAGATTGCTATTATCAACATATTATGATAATCCTCTTTTGACTAAATTTAAAATGTCAACATGACAAATCCCTCTCCGAATATGGTTTAGTGCAAATCTGTGTTATTTTATAAGAATGATCCTTGACTTATGTCATACAAGATATGATTGATTTATATGTTATTAATTTGAAAGATAGAAGAAAATGATATCATATCAGTTTGCCCGAAGAAACGAGGGAACGAATTATTTCATATCAGTTTGCCCGAAGCAAATGAGGGAGTGACTTATATCATGTGAATTTGCACGAAGCAATTCCCAAACCAGTGAAGTGAACTAATGGAAAGTTGAGGATAAGGATTTTTGGAGATCTTGAAGATCTATTTTATTTGACAAGCTTCCTAGTTTCCCTATGATTGTTGTGTACCCTTATAATATCATTTGATATGTATGCTTTCATATCTGATTATATATGTTACTCTTAGATTATTGCATATATGTTTTGGGTACTTCATATGTTGCGATACACTTTTAACGGCTTTAAAGACCCAAATGATTTTATAGTATAGCATGAGCTAGTGCGTCACCTTGGGTAATTATATATTTTCTTGTTGGGGACATCAGTTTTATATGCTATTGGGGTTATCACAATTTGACCTACTGCATATCATAATTATTCCCCCTAGAACCTAGTATGTGGTATAAAACCAAACATTTCTCATCTGCGTAGTGTGCAGTCTTTTTATTATATCACCACCATAGCGTACCTTTGTGGGCATGTATATGTTGATTATAAACCTCCGTCTGTTATTTAAATTCTTAGAGCCCATGATAAGGAATCAATATATAATTAGGTACGCTGACTGCATACTTTATGAAGATGACATTAGGGGGAGATAAGAGCTCAAATTTAATAGAATGTCGAGAAATTCTATGGGTGATTGATGAAAAAGATCTTCAATATTTAAATCCACGTACTAGGTAGACTGAACTAGAAGTTCAGAAGTAAACTGAACTAGAAGTTAAGAAGATAATTAATCTACCAATATATATATATATATATATATATATATATATATATATATATATATATATATATATATATATATATATATATATATATATTGATCATAA